GCGCTCCCGGCGCAGTAATGGTTGGGTGTGCTTTGGGCATAACGTGCAATAAACCAATCAGAGTCTCATCTCCCATTCCCTTTAAAGGGAATGGGAGATGAGACTCTGATTGGTTTATTGCACGTTATGTAATAATCTTTTACATTGCAATCCTTTCATTTTTAATAGTTGGCATGTTTGTGTGCTGCTGTGCGTCCCTGTATGTGTAATAAGCAGAGTGTAGCTACGCGCGCTGTGGACCCACCTGTACTAACGCGCTCTTTAAATAACAAAAAAACTACTGCGCAGTCTATTTCAGTTGCCTCAAAATAGCAACGCGCCAACAATGCGCCTGAGCACACCACGTTTGCAAATGGGCTCAAATGCATTTGCTATTTAAACAACGTGGCGCAGGACGTGAAAATGACAAAAAACACTTGCGTCGCGCCTAACGCCGCATTGCGCAGGGTGCATGATAGGGCCCTCTGTGTCATTGTAACCAAGTATCATAAATAGTGGTCAAATATCGAAGCTATTTAATCTCAAGGTCAAATCAGAATATTTATTGTAAAAATGTTTCTGTAACAGCTGCCAAAAGTTATATATATATATATATATATCTTTATGTGAGTGTACTGTATGTATGCAGATGAAGCTGGATGTAATATCTCTTCAACTTAATATACTGTGCTTTATATGCATCTCAGTGTTTTTATAGTTAATTAAAACTAAAATCAAAAACATCAAAAAACATTATCGTTACTTGAAATAGATGTGAACTGAAATAAGATAAAATATTTAAAAAACTTAAACTTATTTCAGCTAGTTTTCTTATTTTCATTTACTTTATCTTGATGTACTAAAATAAAAATGAATAAAACATATTTTAAACCAATGAAAATGACAAAAACACAACAAAATTATTAAAACTGCGCAGTCTATTTCAGTTGCCTCAAAATAGCAACGCGCCAACAATGCGCCTGAGCACACCACGTTTGCAAATGGGCTCAAATGCATTTGCTATTTAAACAACGTGGCGCAGGACGTGAAAATGACAAAAAACACTTGCGTCGCGCCTAACGCCGCATTGCGCAGGGTGCATGATAGGGCCCTCTGTGTCATTGTAACCAAGTATCATAAATAGTGGTCAAATATCGAAGCTATTTAATCTCAAGGTCAAATCTGAATATTTATAGTAAAAATGTTTCTGTAACAGCTGCCAAAAAAGAATCTATATATTTATAGCTCCACTGTGATTTGTGACATATTTTCAAGCGGAGAAAAAAAAAAAAAAAAAAAAGGAAACATTCCCCTTGGTTTGTTCACAAATCGCACCCTGGTAATATGTGTTAATTACTAAGATGATTTTTTTTTTTTAAAGAAATGTATTCAGCAAGAATCATGGTTTCCACAAAAATATTAAGCAGCACAACAGTCTTCAACATTGATAATAATAAGAAATGCTTCCTGAGCACCAAATCAGCATATTAGAATAATTTGTGACACTGAAGATTGGAGCAACCATGCTGAAAACTAAACTAAAATTACATTTTAAACTATATTCAAACAGAAAACAGTTATTTTACATTCTAATCATATATACTTTTGTATTATATTTTAGATCAAATAAATGCAGTCTTGGTGAGCATGAAAGACTTAACATTAAAAAAAACACATTAAATAATCTTATCAACCCCAAACTTTTGAATGGTAGAAGTGTATTTTGGACTAGACAATTCCAGTCACTCCAATGCAAATAAGTAGCCAGCAGAACTATGAATAAGATAAGATCACAGGAAGACTGCCGGTATGGATAGCATTTCATTTTATCAGACATTTTTTTCTTCTCGTCACCAACACCTTCATTGTCCATTTCCTGTTGTGTCCAGATGTGAAATTTCTAATGCCTGAGCATTTGTCATGGTCTACAAAGCCATTACAGACAGGGACGGAGAGACAGAGAAAGGCGGGAAAAAAATCCTGACAAACTTTCTACGGTGGGGAGGGGTGGATAATATCTCTCCTGTTTCATATCCCATAATTTCTTCCTCTTGTTAGTGTTTGCCATCGCCACGCCGATGTGGTGGATGAGTGTTGTGCCTCATTCCCTGCCAATCCTAATTGGTGCCCTGGGGAGCAGGGGATGAAGGGAAGTCTGTCTTTAATTGCCCCTTTTCTGGAGTGGTGTGACCATCCACACTCTCCTCTTTCGCTCATCCCTCATTCTGTCTCTGTCTTTCTAGTTACAAACTTTGCTGGAATGCTATAGTGAAGCATTGGGCCTCAAAACCACAGATTAATGTCAAACCCCACCAGCATCTTTGCTCATTTCCTCACACTGCGTGACATCATGTTTAGAGGCTGTGGCATGTTTTCTTTAAGCCATGAGTGCTGTGTTCTTCTTTCATGAGGATAGACGGGCTTTACATGGGGTGTCATGAATGCTGACAAGCTCCAAAAATGTCAACCAGTATGAGCTCAGAGGACTCGGAAGGTGTGGTCCATCTGAGAGCACATTTCCACTCAGCCTTCAACACGTCCATGGCCACATCAGGAAGTGTTGAGGAGAGATAGACGAGGAGACAGTATGGAGGCTTATTTTCAGCATGAAATAAAAAAGGTAATTGAAACTTTTTTCTTGCAATTTTCTTGACTTTTTTCAGAATTGCAAGATATAAACTCAGAATTCTAAGACAAAAAGTCCCAAATGTGATATAAAAAGTCATAATTACCTTTTTTATTATTATTATTATTTTAAATTCCGCAGTGGAAACCAGCTCCTTTTTTTTATCTCACAATCATTTTCTTGCAATTTCTTTACAATTTCGACTTCTCTTCTTAGAACTGTGAGTTTACATATCGTTTATATATCAATTGAGAAAAAAAAGTTAGAATTGCAAGGAAAAAAGCCACAATTGTGAGAAAAAAAAGGTAACACTTTACAATACGGTTCCATTAGTTAATGTTAGTTAATGTATGAATGAACAAACAATGAACAATACATTTGTTACAGTATTTATTAATCTTTGTTAATGTTAGTTAATGAAAATAAAGTCGTTCATTGTTAGTTCATGTTAATTCACAGCATGTTAACTAATGTTAACAAGCACAACTTTTGATTTTAATAATGCATTAATAAATGTTGAAATTAACATTAACTAGGATTAATAAATGCTGTAGAAGTATTGTTCATGAGAACAGTAGTAGTTAACTAATGTTAACTAATGATGAAACATTGCAAAGTGTTACCAAAAAATTAATTTGCTCCTGCCGTGGAATAAAAAATAAAAAAAGTTTGCAATTGTGAGTTTATATTTCACAATTCAGACTTTTCTTCTCAGAAATGCACGTTTATATCTCACAATTGAGAATTAGAAAAGTTTTTTTTTCTCAGAATTGTGAGATTATATCTCTATTTTTTAATTCTAAGTTTATATCTCACAATTATGAAAAAAAAATAATTGTGAGATATAAAAAGTCATGTTACCTTTTTTTTTCTTTTTATTCAATGTCAGAAATAATCTTCCATAAAACAGAGCTCTACAATTATGAACAATCATGCTCTCCAAGGTGCCTGGGTGCAAAGAGAAGACAGTTTGTGGACAGGTGATAGGAGAGATTGCTTCACAGACTGAGATTTCATTTACGAGGAGGGCAATGGTGTTGTTTCCTTCTTTCTGTTTTCATTTTGAATTGAGGACTAGAATGTCTACTTGACATTTCATTCACTGTATTACTTACAGACTATCCGTTTTTTCAAAAGTCTCTTCTTGAAACAGCACTGAAAGTGGACACAATGTATTATGACCTTTTACAGTGGTACTGTACACAGAATATGTTACAGCCAAATTATACAGTTCTCCTCATAAGTTTACATACCCCTTGCAAGACTGCAAGATGATAATTTTAATAAAATAAAAGGGACCATAAAAACTGATTTTTTTTATTTAGCACTGTCCTGTGTCACACAACAGATGTTTACATAAAGTCCACAAGACAAAATAAAAATGAACCAGTTCAAAAGTTGACATACCCTTGAATCTTAATCATGTGTGTTGTTACCTGGATGATCTATGACTGTTTTTATGTTTGTGATAGATGTTCATGATGAGTGGGGTGTACATTTTTCTGACTTACATGATCAGGATATATTGTACTCATTTCTAAGAAACATGTAAATATCTTACGTAGTTTCTGAAGGGCAGTACTAACTAACTAAATAAATAAATAAACATGATTTGTAAACAATATAAGAAACATTTACACATCATCATCATCCTGTTCAAAAGTATACACTCCCTGGCTTATAATGCATTGTGTTGACTTCTTGGTGTTTATTCAGTTATTATTTTGTCTTGTGTACTATATGTAAACATCCGTTATGTGTTATTCAGGACAGTACTACATAAAAAGTAACATGCAATTTTTTATGATTCATCTTATTTTGTTAAAATGATTAACATCTTGCATATTCTACAAGGGGTATAAACATCTGAGCAGAACTGTAAGATATAGGATTCTTACATTAGCATGTGACAACAAATGGTAACATCCGTAATGTCAAACGCTTTACTGTGAATATGTTTACAGTCTCATTACATGTCTGTGCACCCCTAAAAAGCTTATGGATACTTAAGACACAGTATGTGCATAATAAAAATAAATGAAACCAAGCGGAATATGCAAGGTTTTCTCTACTAACTTTACATATCTTTTTATTTTAACTATCAGAGTAACCACAGACAGTAGTTCAAAAAATTATAACTACATTTGACCAGAAAAAAAAAAGTGTCAAAATAGTTTTCTAACCACAATTTTGAACAGTATATCTATTGTTTTATCGTTCAAAATCAAAATAAAATCTTTTTTTAAGTGTTTTGCTTTAAAAGTAAGCTCGTGCACTCATTCTTTCAAATAAATACCGCTTTAATATTTTGTTACCTAATGCATTTTAAAATTACAACAGATTCTGCTTCAATAACTGTAATAAAATCAGTAAATTGAACAGTTCTTGATTTTACCTCTGACTCATCTGTGGATTCTTCACTTAATTTTCTTCCCTGGAAAAAAAGAAAAAGCAATGCATTAACGCTGGAAAAATTATGAACATGGCATATTATTTCTTAAACACCTTCATAAAAATATATGCAATGGCAAAGCCAACATAAAACCTAACTTAAAAACGTAATTATGTATAAATAAATAATAATATGTATATAAAAAAAGTATTCTTCATTTTGTCAGTGAACTTGCTGTCATCCCTGCTGAAAAAGCTGCTTTAAGGTCTAAGGTAGTCTGGTCTAAGATGGTCTCCCAGCCTGCCCAGCTGACAAGTGTCCAAAAGCCAGTAAACAGACCAGTATGGGAGAGCGGCTAAAACCAGGAAACGACTTTAAGCTGGTTTTAAGTATTTTTTTAGGCAGTGATGTTGGCAAGTGTCAAACTATCGAGTTAGTCTGACAGCTTCAATAACACGTCTTTTAAAAAGTTCCTTTAAAATATCATTTACAACTGCAACCTCGAATAGCCAACACGCATTAAAAATTAAACATACTGAAACGTTACATGTATAATCACAGGCATCTGTCATTTGACAGAATGTTTTCTTCCTTCAGAAACCTACCTGCTCCTCCACTTCCGCCATTTTAGGGGCTCCAGATGTGGGATAGTAAGGCAGATTTAGTATTAGGCCTAGTCTACTAATTTATGGTCGAATGAACAAACAATGAACAATACATTTGTTACAGTATTTATTAATCTTTGTTAATGTTAGTTAATGAAAATAAAGTCGTTCATTGTTAGTTCATGTTAATTCACAGCATGTTAACTAATGTTAACAAGCACAACTTTTGATTTTAATAATGCATTAATAAATGTTGAAATTAACATTAACTAGGATTAATAAATGCTGTAGAAGTATTGTTCATGAGAACAGTAGTAGTTAACTAATGTTAACTAATGATGAAACATTGCAAAGTGTTACCAAAAAATTAATTTGCTCCTGCCGTGGAATAAAAAATAAAAAAAGTTTGCAATTGTGAGTTTATATTTCACAATTCAGACTTTTCTTCTCAGAAATGCACGTTTATATCTCACAATTGAGAATTAGAAAAGTTTTTTTTTCTCAGAATTGTGAGATTATATCTCTATTTTTTAATTCTAAGTTTATATCTCACAATTATGAAAAAAAAATAATTGTGAGATATAAAAAGTCATGTTACCTTTTTTTTTCTTTTTATTCAATGTCAGAAATAATCTTCCATAAAACAGAGCTCTACAATTATGAACAATCATGCTCTCCAAGGTGCCTGGGTGCAAAGAGAAGACAGTTTGTGGACAGGTGATAGGAGAGATTGCTTCACAGACTGAGATTTCATTTACGAGGAGGGCAATGGTGTTGTTTCCTTCTTTCTGTTTTCATTTTGAATTGAGGACTAGAATGTCTACTTGACATTTCATTCACTGTATTACTTACAGACTATCCGTTTTTTCAAAAGTCTCTTCTTGAAACAGCACTGAAAGTGGACACAATGTATTATGACCTTTTACAGTGGTACTGTACACAGAATATGTTACAGCCAAATTATACAGTTCTCCTCATAAGTTTACATACCCCTTGCAAGACTGCAAGATGATAATTTTAATAAAATAAAAGGGACCATAAAAACTGATTTTTTTTATTTAGCACTGTCCTGTGTCACACAACAGATGTTTACATAAAGTCCACAAGACAAAATAAAAATGAACCAGTTCAAAAGTTGACATACCCTTGAATCTTAATCATGTGTGTTGTTACCTGGATGATCTATGACTGTTTTTATGTTTGTGATAGATGTTCATGATGAGTGGGGTGTACATTTTTCTGACTTACATGATCAGGATATATTGTACTCATTTCTAAGAAACATGTAAATATCTTACGTAGTTTCTGAAGGGCAGTACTAACTAACTAAATAAATAAATAAACATGATTTGTAAACAATATAAGAAACATTTACACATCATCATCATCATCATCCTGTTCAAAAGTATACACTCCCTGGCTTATAATGCATTGTGTTGACTTCTTGGTGTTTATTCAGTTATTATTTTGTCTTGTGTACTATATGTAAACATCCGTTATGTGTTATTCAGGACAGTACTACATAAAAAGTAACATGCAATTTTTTATGATTCATCTTATTTTGTTAAAATGATTAACATCTTGCATATTCTACAAGGGGTATAAACATCTGAGCAGAACTGTAAGATATAGGATTCTTACATTAGCATGTGACAACAAATGGTAACATCCGTAATGTCAAACGCTTTACTGTGAATATGTTTACAGTCTCATTACATGTCTGTGCACCCCTAAAAAGCTTATGGATACTTAAGACACAGTATGTGCATAATAAAAATAAATGAAACCAAGCGGAATATGCAAGGTTTTCTCTACTAACTTTACATATCTTTTTATTTTAACTATCAGAGTAACCACAGACAGTAGTTCAAAAAATTATAACTACATTTGACCAGAAAAAAAAAAGTGTCAAAATAGTTTTCTAACCACAATTTTGAACAGTATATCTATTGTTTTATCGTTCAAAATCAAAATAAAATCTTTTTTTAAGTGTTTTGCTTTAAAAGTAAGCTCGTGCACTCATTCTTTCAAATAAATACCGCTTTAATATTTTGTTACCTAATGCATTTTAAAATTACAACAGATTCTGCTTCAATAACTGTAATAAAATCAGTAAATTGAACAGTTCTTGATTTTACCTCTGACTCATCTGTGGATTCTTCACTTAATTTTCTTCCCTGGAAAAAAAGAAAAAGCAATGCATTAACGCTGGAAAAATTATGAACATGGCATATTATTTCTTAAACACCTTCATAAAAATATATGCAATGGCAAAGCCAACATAAAACCTAACTTAAAAACGTAATTATGTATAAATAAATAATAATATGTATATAAAAAAAGTATTCTTCATTTTGTCAGTGAACTTGCTGTCATCCCTGCTGAAAAAGCTGCTTTAAGGTCTAAGGTAGTCTGGTCTAAGATGGTCTCCCAGCCTGCCCAGCTGACAAGTGTCCAAAAGCCAGTAAACAGACCAGTATGGGAGAGCGGCTAAAACCAGGAAACGACTTTAAGCTGGTTTTAAGTATTTTTTTAGGCAGTGATGTTGGCAAGTGTCAAACTATCGAGTTAGTCTGACAGCTTCAATAACACGTCTTTTAAAAAGTTCCTTTAAAATATCATTTACAACTGCAACCTCGAATAGCCAACACGCATTAAAAATTAAACATACTGAAACGTTACATGTATAATCACAGGCATCTGTCATTTGACAGAATGTTTTCTTCCTTCAGAAACCTACCTGCTCCTCCACTTCCGCCATTTTAGGGGCTCCAGATGTGGGATAGTAAGGCAGATTTAGTATTAGGCCTAGTCTACTAATTTATGGTCTATCGGCAACGTTAGCAATATTTATGTACACTTAAATTAGTTATTTTGCACCATCAACCAGCGCAGCTAATCATGCAATTCTCATTATTATGGGCACTGGGTCACATGACAAAAACAGGAAGCATCGCTAGAGCATCATGGGAGTTGTAGTTAAAGTACAAGGGAAAGAATACGCTAGCACCCGACCTTTTCTCCAAATATATGTGATTCCTGTGTTTTAATTCACTTTCATTATAGTAGCAAACGCATTTTCTCCGACCCTCACATTTTATTAAATAAAATCGTAATTTAATATCTGCATGTAAGCAACAGATTTAAGTGTCACGTCAAAATGTATATTTGTCTATATAAATCAGCTGACCCTAAAGAATCACTGTCATCTGCCTTGATCTTTTTGCTTATTCTAATACGTCAGTCAAGAAGAGGACGTGTGATGAGATTTAATTTGACATTGTTACATTTGTAACAGATGGACCACCTATCTGAGACAGGCTGTCAATGTGTCTCATATGTTTATGCTGATAGTGGCTGGCAGGACGAGCTTTGCTCTTGCTATATTTATACTCGTAATGAGTTGGAATATCAGCTCCATTCACTTAAGTTTGGAGCTTAGGCAGCAATTATTAAAATTCATTGGGCAAAAATTATGCAAATGAGCTTATGCATGTAAAATATCCCCAGAACAGTATTTTAAAGTTTGAATAATATATGTTGATCATATACAATTAGATCAGAACCAACACTGCATCAATAATGAGGACTTAAATCAGCTCAAAAGAAAAAGTGGAACAGATATTTAGCATATCTTGCATATTTTGGTGAAATCCTTTTTTCCCCCTTGTGACCCTAAACATCAAAACAGAAGTTAAATATGATCTAATTTCATTGTGCGATTTATCTCTAATGCCCTCTGTAGTGGGTAAAAGCTCTTTAAATAGTTGAATAGCTGGGGTCATTGCACCTCTGCCACATGTGTAGGTTCACATTGTAATAATTTATGAGAAATGACCCACTGTGCCTCTGCTTAATGCTTTGTTGGGTCAAGCCTTATAATGCTTCGGGCTGTTTTCAGATTATTCACTGATAATGTCCTATCCTTTTTTTATTTTTTATTACACATCTTATATTTGCTCATTCTCTCTATAAACAGGTCATACTGAAGATGATTTTTTTTTTCTCTTTAACAAAACAGTTACATGGTTATTCTTAATTGCTGGAAATCATGTTTTGTTGTAGCTTCAAAAAAAAGGTGATAGTAATATTTATTATATTTAAAAATGTAATTGTTTACAATAAAATAGAAAAAAAAAAAAAA